ATAAACTGAAAAGGTTGGATTGTTTTGTTAATCCTTACTCACAGTCTGCTTTTAAGAAAACTACTTGGCACCTTTCCAGTTCAGATCTGTGTGGACAAAGTGTAGAGTAAGCAGGTTGATATAAATACTTGAAAGATCTCAGATGCCCACGGATATCTGAATCACTCCACAGTAAGATTGTATTTGAGAGCAGGAAGAATTCTCTTTCATACTAAAGGGTTTTCTGGTGTTATTTCTGTTAAACCCACAAATGGGGGGGGGGGGGTTACTACTGACAGCAAAAACATACAACAGTGTGGTATCAAGGGCACTGCCAAAGAACCAAGTAAAACAACTCAATTTTTCAAAGCATTCTGACAACTAGAGTAAAAGCAGTTTTTTCCTATTTGAGGGTTTTATTTCCAAGTAAAAGTTTTATTTCCTCAATTGAATCAGCATCAGTTTATTGTGAATACCTTGAGGAATAGTACACATGCAAATATCTAAAATTAATCTAGAGTTTCAATTTTTTTTCTAATACTGGCCAAATTCTGTACATAAAAACAACTATGGTACCTGTAACTTCTTGAACCAAACACCATGTAACTTAGAATATGATTACTGATTCTATAAATTTCTGTCAGCTTTAAAAGCAAAACCTATTAAAACTGTATCTCTTGAGACTAACCAGATGTTTAAAGTTCAATTATTAGGTAAGGACCATAAATACAACATTAAGAACTCACTTGAGTGGATTAAAATATGAAAGAAAAATGCTAGTATCAAGACTTCAAACTAAAAATAACACGATAATGAAAAACAATCCAAATATAAAATAACTTTTAATTAAGTATAAACTTAAATCTCTGAGTAGTAGTTCAATAGCCTAACAGGCAGGACAGGATTATTTTATGGCTACGGCTGCACTCGGAGAGTGCTTTATCAATTTTAACAATTCTAGCATGTTAATAGTAAAGGAACTACACATTGAACATACATAAACAAGTCCGTTTGAGAGTAGCTGTGGTATGTCCTTGATTCAGAAGCACCCCAAGAGGCAGATGTAGGGTCTGAATGGGGTTCCAAAACTGTTGTTGGTCAACTGTTGATTTGATCTGGGACTTTCTTTGCACTCCTTGCCAAACTGCCAGGATTCAGCGACCCAAAGGCAAGTCAGAACCAGACTGGCCTCGAAAAGATGCTGGATCTTTGTCAAACGAACTGAAAAATCTGCTGATCATTTATCTATTTAGGCATGAGCCTTTAATTTCTTGGCCTTGTAAATCAATTCTCTAGATTTCTATCAGGTTTGCAAGAATTTCTCAAATATCTAGGAACATAATTATCTTCCATAATGACATCTAGCTATAATAGGCAAAGACGTAAAAGTATTAAATCAAAAGCCAGTTATTCTCAAAGAATAAGCAAGAACACCGGCAAACAACTTCGTGAAAAGTCTCCAAACCTACTGGGGAAAGAGAGCCAAAACCAGTGCCAAGCACTCCTGCAAGGCATTAGGCACGGATACCAATTTGAATTACAGTACAAAACCTTGCAAAGTCCTTGGAAGCACAGCCCCGCAAACCAAGTTCCCGTTCCAGTGCAAAGGAATACTCTTTCCTTCATAACCTCTCCAAAGACAGTCGAGGTCCGAGGTCTTCTAAGGGACACCATTTACGCCGAACGATACAGCATGTACGATATGTCACTTGGTCCCGGTTTGGGGCTTTTTCTTTATAGCTATGTCTAAAGGCCAGCTAACTCAGCGGCACTTTGTTCGGACCCTGAACCTGGCGACCAAGGGACAGGTAGAGAAAGTGAAGAACTAGCTAAGGGTGGAGGTAAGCCAAGGCTAAGGCTCGGCAAAGTGGGGAGCCGGAGGACCGGGTAAGCAAAGGGAGCGCAGGTACCTTGGGGACCCTGGGGTCGCCACGGCGGGGCAGGTGGGGCGAGCGCACAGGTGGGAAGGGGTGTGGGTTTGCCCCGGGAGAGGGGACCGGGGCGGCCCGCCGCGCGCCTTACCTTTGAGCTGGGGCAGGGGGTGCAGCTCCGGCTGGCTGCCCTGGCTGCGGAACTGCGACGAGCCCTGCGAGCGCTTCTGCCTCTGAGCCTTGCGCACCGATTTCCGGGTGAAGCCGTCCACTTTTTCCGAGGCCGAGATGGCGGCGCAGGCAACTGGCGCGGGCGGCGACGGCGACGACATCTCCGCGACCCCGGCGCCCGGCGCCTCTAGCCGCGGCTAGCCGGGGAAATCGGCGAGGGACGGGCACGGCGAGCCTGCGCCCCTGCGCCCCGGGCCCCGGCCGCGCCGCCCCCGCGCTCCGCGAGCTGCTCCCCGCCCGACAGCGCCTCACGGCCGCATCCCCGCGCCGCGCGGCCGCCTCCCGGGGCTGGCGGAGGGGAGGGCTGGGGCGCGCGGGCCGCACAAGTTGCTGACGCCCGGCGCCGAGGGCGGGCGGAGGCGAGCCCGAAGTTTGGACGGCTGGGGCGAGCGCGCGGGTGCGGACCCCGGGCGCGCCTCGCGGACGTCCCCTTAGCGCGCGGAGCCCCGGCGGCTCCTCAGCGGCCGCTGCCCGCGCCGTCCGCCCGGCCGGGAGCCTCCTCCCGGGGCGCTTCCATCGCGGGTCCGCGCGAGCCGCCGCCGAGCGCTCGCCCTGCTGTCAGCGCTGGCCCCTCATCGCCTGGGGCGGCCGCCCGCGCCCCGAACCTTGGAGCGTCGCCCTCGCTCTCCCCCGCGCGCCCACCGACCGCCCACGGAGCACGCCGGGCGAGCGACTGCTACAACTTGAGAGGGTGGCTGGGACGGGCGCGGGGGGGGGGCACCGTGCGCGTGCGTGCGCGCTCGCGCGGCCCGGGGGAGGTCCTCGCGGGGGGTGGAGGGAGGAGTTTGACTGACAACTTCCGCGGGGTCCCACTAGCCTCTCGAGGCTCCGGAGGGGGCCGGGACGGGAAAGCATGCCAGTTCCCTCAGCCAATCGCAGGGCTCAGCGGCAGAACGGGGGAGGGGGCGTGGCCTCCTGGATGTCTATCATGAGTCCAGAGTCGGGTGGGAGGGAGGGAGGGGCTATGTGACAGACGCGGGTGTCAACCAATCGCAAGTGAAGGTAGTGAGCGGGGTGCCTCGTGCGTCACAACTGTATTGAAAGCTCTCGGGAGGGAGAGCAGGGAAATGCCGTGCCACTGTGGGGCCTCGTGTACGCCTGCGCTCGGCTCCAGACGGAGGGTGAGAGGAAAACTAGACAAGCCGTTCAGAAAGGAGAAGAGCGTCCTCCCGCCCTCTCACGCGAGGGCCGGGGCGCCTCAGAACGCCAAGTGTTGCGTCAGTGGAACGGGGGCGGGGCAAAGGTCGTGTCAGAGCAATGTGATTGACAGGCGAAGGATCCCCCGAGCGGAGAGGAATGAGCTCGTCCAATCGGAACGCGGTGCTGGGCTCCTGGGCGGGCCTTCGTCCTCCGGGTCCTAAACCGCGTAATTGGTGGTTGGGGAGGCTTTATGTAGCTCCCGAGGTTTCGGCGCCGCGGTTCGCTGAGCGCTGCTCTCGCGTGGGGTTTGGGCAAGCTCGCCCCTACCACTTCAAAGAACTCTGCAAGTCCACGCCCTCTGAGAAGAAGTTTTCCATTTCGAACTTAGCCCAATTTAACCCCTTCACCTGAAGACCTCCAGTCTTCTATATACTCAAGTTCAGATTCGCTGATTTGGGGTCTTGGGATCTCTCCCTGGAGCTCCCGACTTAACTTTAAATGTAAAGCCAAGGACTGTTCACGTTAGTCTTGTGCAGTGCTTTTCATGGGATGCTTTGCAGTAAGTGACCCCCAACAGTGTCTGCAGTATCTATTCCTAGCGCCACACCCTTTCCTTTTGACATAATAAAAACTGTTGAAGTAGACTGACCTAATTCCTGAGGGGGATGCACAAAACATTTGCTTAAACAAATTATGTAACCAACCACCAGGAATGGATAAAGAAAATGTGCGTGTATATATACACAATGGATTTTTTTCACCATAAAGAACAAAGTTATATCATTTGTAAGAAAATAATCCAACTGGAGATAATTATATTAAGCTGATTAAGGCAGTCTCAAAAAGATAAATATCCTGTTCCCTCTCGTTTGTGGTTCCTAGATTTTACATAGGAACATTGAATCGTGTATGTATTTGCAACTTGGAAGTAGACATGAAGTTGTCTAAGGAAATGTGTTAATAAATGGGAGGGGAATATATTTGATGCACAAAAATACTTGTATGAAATTTCTAATGTAAAATTAAATATTAAAAACCAAAGAAAAAGGTTATACACAGTCTTCCCAATCATGGAGGCTCAGACTGCATCAGCAATTAAAAGATCTTTCTCAGCCGGGCGGTGGTGGCGCACGCCTTTAATCCCAGCACTCGGGAGGCAGAGCCAGGTGGATCTCTGTGAGTTCAAGGCCAGCCTGGTCTCCAAAGCGAGTTCCAGGAAAAGGCGCAAAGCTACACAGAGAAACCCTGTCTCGAAAAACAAAAAAAAAAAACAAACAAAAAAAAAAAAAGATCTTTCTCATCCAATCAAATACCAGGTTAAGTTGACTCTTCTTTAAGGTTCAAAACATCTTTAACAATTTGCAAAATGAACTACCCATTGTAATTCAAGGGTTTCAAGATCACTGCCAGAGGGCCTTTCAAGTATATATACATATATATGTATATATACATATATAGTGCATTAGATTAGAGGTCTAGGAATCTGTTATGCCTATATCTCGAGGACCCATATATATATATAATATATATATATATATATATTATATATATATATAGAGAGAGAGATTGTAATATAATTAGATCATTTCTCCCCTCCCTCCAAACCCTCCCATGTACCACCGTCCTTGCTCTCTTTCAAATTCATACCCTCTTTTTCTTTAATTGTTACACACACACACACACACACACACACACACACACACACACACTCCTAAATATACAAACACAGCCTGCTCAGTCCATATGGTGTGCTTTATTATATGTTTCCAAGGGTGACCATTTGGCCTTGGATTAGTGTGGTCTTCGTGGAGACTGTTTCCCCAGCTCTCAGCATTTCCTTAGTTGCCTATGGCTCTTCGTGTTATGGACTGGTACCCACACAATAGAGTCCAAATTCAGTCTGAGTCCCAACTTGCCAGGTGCAAATCCCACTATATGTACTTTTTTCCTTTCCGGTTCAGGCACAGTATCCCACAAAGTGACCTTGCTTCCTGACACTTAGTGCTATCCCACCTTCTTGAAACGACCCACCTCATCCCCATTTGTTGAAAACGTCTTTTCTTCAAAGCCCAGCTAGACACCTACCTTCTGTGAAGGTATTCACAATAATCTGCCCTGAGGGGATGCTTCCCTTCTTAGTGTTCCAACTGTAGGTATTACCTATATTCCTCACAGGACCTGCCACCTCATCTCCCAGATGATAGTATGCCCCTTCTCCTCTGAAGATTTGGAAGCACCAACAAGCCAGACATGGCTTACTTTATTGCTCCTAGCCTCTACTGAAATAGATAGGCAGTATAATACAATATCATTTCAGCTTTCAATATTTTCTGAAAGTGTGGTTACTGGATTCCTAGTGTCAGAATCCTTGAGGCAACTATTTGAAATGCAGACTCTGTGAGGGGACCCAAAACAGCTTGACCACACAGCTGCCATGACAGGCTTACTGGGAGGCAACACCCAGATCTAGGAAAAGCCATAAGCTGACACTACCCAGAGATCCACCCTGGATGGGCCAACATCTAAGGGGAAGAATCTGACATCTCAAACTTTCCAACCACTAGATAAGATAGCCAAATGTCCCTGAGCCTACCACACACCTATTTCTCCTTTTGACCAAGGTACTCCTAGACAAATGTCAACCAATCAGGGTCCTGAATCCTGGAAATCCCCTCACCCCAACCTCTGCTATGACAAAAACCCTGCCCGCCTATGCTCTCACGGCTGTGTTGGACAGACAGAGAGACCAAGCTTGAGCTTGAAATAAAGGCTCTTTGCTTTTACATATGGGATTTGGTCTCCATGGTGGGATTTGGGGGGTCCTTGTGATCTAGGCATAACAGGCTATCTAATGCACTATATCAATATGGAGAAAAGGTTGGAAATCCATTTTTTAAAGATTTATTTATTTATTATGTATACAGTGTTCTGCCTGTATGTCTGCCTGCAGGCCAGAAGAGGGCATCAGATCTCATTACAATAGTTGTGAGCCACCATATGGTTGCTGGGAATTGAACTCAGGTCCTCTGGAAGAGCAGTCAGTGCTCTTAACCACTGAGCCATCTCTCCAGCCTGGAAATCCATTTTTTTTTTATTTTTTTTTATTATTTTTTTTTTTATTTTTTCCGGAGCTGAGGACTGAACCCAGGGCCTTGTGCATGCTAGGCAAGCGCTCTACCACTGAGCTAAATCCCCAACCCCTGGAAATCCATTTTTAATAAGCTCTCTATTGTTAACGCACACAGAAGTCTGAAATCACAATTCTCTAGTCACCTAAATATTATTAAATAGTATAGAGGTCTGGAGGTGTAGCTCAGAGGTAAGAGTACTTGTTAGCATACACAAGGCCCTGGGTTCAGTGCCCCGTACCACCCACAGGGATAGTAAATGTCTACAAAGTACAGTAGTGCTATTTATAATAAAAACAACATATATAAGAATACATAAATACACACAAAGAAAAGTATTGCAGAATATTTGTTTATACTGTGAAAATGTGTTTTTGCCAAGGTGCCTTCTGATTGGTTTAATAAAAAGCTGAATGGGCCAATAGCTAGGCAGGAAGAGGTTAGGCGAGACTTCTGGGGACAGAGAGCGCTCTGGGAAGGAGAAAGACAGAGTTGCCAGCCAGAAGAGGAGGAAGCAGGATGGGCAGTATGGAGATGAGATAATGAACCACATGCCAGAACATAGATTAAAAAATATGAGTTAATTTAAGTTATAAGAACTAGTTAGGAGCAAGCCTAAGCTAAGGCCAAGCATTAATAATTAGTAATAAGTCTCTGTGACATTATTTGTAAGCTGGGGGTCCCGATGAGAAAATTTGTCTACAGAAAAGACCTAGCAATTCAGTTAGAATGAGCACAACTGTTTGAGTAGTGTCTGAAGTGGTCACTTGGGGAAGAAGTTTTCCAAGTTTGAAAGAAAAGGTAAAGTCAAAACCTGAAAGAAAGAAAAAATGAGGATGGTTCCAAGTTCATGTTAGCATTTTGGGAAGGATAATATGTAATATTAGTGACCCTGTCTCAAAACAAACCAAGACCGAACTTTATGTTTATTTTTATTTTATGTGCATTGGTGTCTTACCCGCATGTATGTCTGTGTGGGGGTGTCAGATCTTGGAGTTACACACAGCTGTGAGCTGTCTTGTGGGTGCTAGGAATTGAACCCGGGTCCTCTGAAAGAAGAGCATGTGCTCTTAACCACTGAGCCATCTCTCCGGCGCCCTAACCTAATATTTTTTTACAGCCCACTAAGCCCAGTTCTTGGTGCCCTTCTGTGCATGGATGTGAGGCTATCCCCCGGAGCCTGGGAACCCTGGCAGTGAAGTGCCCAACTTTAAATGGCATTAATGGTGTGAGCCTGTCGTATCGCTTACCCTGTCAGAGTCTGGACTTCCACATTCACATGCTGGTAGGAAGAAAAAGTGCACGGCCTTGGAAGGGCTGGCATGGGTTTTAAATGTGACGCCTGAAAGACAACACTTGAACCTCTGCAGACAGCACTTTACACACAGGTGTTTGTCAAAAATCTACTTTCCACCTTCTGTCTTGAGTAAAGCATTTGGGTCCTAGACAGAAATTTGGTCACTGTGAACATCTATAAGGTAGCAGACACCTGTAAACCTAGCACCTGGGAGGCAAAGGCAGAGCAACTGCTGAACGTTCCAGGCCAGTCTAGTCTGTCTAGTTCATCCCTGGCCATCCAGGACTGCATAGTGTGACCCTGTCTCAAACAAAACAAAACTGTCTTACCAAAGATTTGATATGTGCAAGAAGATCTTTGCCTTGTGAGCTGTTCAAAGGTATGGAAATTTGGTTTTCCCGAACCAAACTTGGTGCTTGTTTTGTGAGTCAGGGTCTTGCAAAATAACCTAAGATGGCTTTGAACTTGTAGTCCTCCTACCTCTGTCTCCCAGGGCAATAGAATTAAAGACAAGTGCCATCACCTCCAGCCACTTTTCTAGGTTTTCAAGGACTAAAATTCCATGTGGTTTATCTGGGTGCTTTGTAAGTGCAACCGTGTGTTGAGATGATTGGAATTCCTGTGACTTCAGAAGGAGATGTTAGCAGGGCAAGGTGAGAAGTCCCAGTTTTCAACTGGTACCATTTTTCTCTTTTTAATTGTAATTGTAAACATTTTTTAAGTGCATCATTTCAACTCAATTTGTTGTGGGCTACTGCGTTGGTCAACCAGGACTTTCCACAAGACCAGTGACAATCAAAACGGTTAGATTGGAGATCTGTTTGGGGTGAGGAGTACAAGGGACCTGTAAGTGGACTGAATGGGAGCAGAGGTAAAAACGTGCCTGAATCCTGCAGTGTTAAACTTCCTGGTGGTCACCTGACTCTCTCTTCACAGCTAGGAAGCCTGTGCTCCATCAATACGGGCCAAAAGCGTAAGTGTCAGCTAGCACTTGCTCAGTCTTTGACCTGTGTAGATGAGGAATCAGACAGAATCGTAAAGTTCATGTCATGTACCATTGTCCTTGCAGAGTACGAGTAAAAAGCCCGAGCGTGGCAGACTCGTCGTCGTCGTCGTCATCGTGCTATAATAGAATCCTACGAGCCTCTTGTAGGTGTCTTTGTGTCAGGTCATGTGCCAGTTGCTGGAAATGAAGAGATAAATACAATGTGGCCCTTCCAACAGCCCAGTGAGAAGACACGAACTTAAAAGCCTTTGTGCCGCTGTGTATTGTAGTCTCGGCACCGGGGAAGTGGGAACAGAAGGATCAGGAGTCCATGGCCAGGCTTGGCTATGGAACAAGTTTGAGGGCAGCCTGGGCAACATGAGACCCTGTCTCAAAACACAAAAACAGAAGGAAAAAGTAAATAAAACCCACTAAAACAAAAGAGGCACAGTCACCACAACAAAACGAAGGAACAAAAACTTTCCACAGATGTTCTTTATGGTATTATGGGAAAATAACCTCATTTGGTTTGGGAAGAAAGAGTCAGAGAAAATTTAACAGAAACCATGTTTGAAATAAATGAGACTGGAAGAAAACAAACTTTTCAGACAACCATCAGAAGAGAAAATCTTGCTGTTTTAGAAATGAGTCTGACATTTCTTCATCACTATAAAGATTTGCATATTTTACATAACATGCAGCCAAAAATTAAAATTCCAAAGCCACAGTAAAATACCTTATGCCACATCTTGTATCAGAATTTGACCAGGAGGAAGAAGAGAGGGGTGAGTTTTGACATATGACTGTCCTCTGGCCATATTATGAAAAGCAGTGATGTAAAAACCTGCATGTCCGCTTGGTGCTAACATGCAGCTCTTATGTAAGTCTGAGGGTGGCCTTTCCTCATTTACCTGAAGAAGCATCTGGTACTTTGAGGCTGTTGCTGTTCTAAAACACACAGCTGCTGAATGTCAGCCGTCTGTCCTCTCTCCTGGGCTGGCTGCTTAGGCTCAAACCCAGCCAGCTGACTTTCATCTTCAGTAGTGTGATGTTGTCTGCAGTTGTATGAAATAATAATCATAGTGTGAGGGGTTTTCAGAATTAATGAGTTAGAAACACTGGGGCATTTTTAGAGCCTATATTTTGACTTCCATAACAAAAGCCATCAGTTTTTCAGAACCACGTGAATCAGAAGCAGGCAGATCTCTGTGAGTTCCAATACAGACTGAACTACATAGCAAGTTCCAGGCCAGCCAGAGCTACATAGTGAGACCCTGTCTCAAAAACAATGACAAAAGGCAAAGAAAGAAACCCTCACCACCAACAACCACAAAACGTATGAATCCAGTGCAGTGGTGCGTTCATAAAATCCTACTGTTTAGGAGGCTGAGGCAGGGAGGTTGGAGAGTTGAGGCTAGCCTGAACTATGCAGCAAGACCTTATTGAAACAAGGGAGAAAGCAAGCAAGCAAGAGAGAAAGAGAGAGAGAGAGAGAGAGAGAGAGAGAGAGAGAGAGAGAGAGAGAGAGAGAGAGAGAGAGAGAGAGAAGGAAGGAAGGAAAGAAAGAAAGAAGGAAGGGGGAATGAAGTAGTCACTACGGGTCATAAGTATGTATAAATATAATCTTCATCATCATAGCCTACTTCCTGTGTGTCAGGCCCCTAATGTGAAGAACCCAACAGAAAGAGAATAAGTGAGGTGTAGCTTGTCTTACAGCCTCTCTTACCAATGTGACTCCTCTGTGCCCCTTGGTTATTTCTGTCACATCAGGAACATTTTTTTTCTGGCAGGGTCTCACTCCACAGGCCCAACTCTTCTGAAATTAACTCTATAGCTCTTAAACTCTCAGCAATCCTACTGCTTCAGCCTCCTGAGTTCTAGAATTACAGGCATGATTCACCTACCTCAGTGTATTTTTAATTGTAGTATCATGGTGTTGTCTGTCTTTCTCATCTAAGACTCAATGTTGTGACTGAGTGTTGATGCTGAGCAGAAGCTTTGATGAAAGATGACAACAAAATGGCCTGGATGTTTGCTACCCTAGACCTTTGCTCATGCTTAGAAATGGTGGTCAATGTTTTCATTCATTCAAATTTATCCATTAATCACGTACAACATGCTCTGCCCTGTCGGCTGTTTGGAGTACATCAGTGGATGAGACAAAATTCATCAACAGAGGTGAAAACTCATGTCACTTAAAACTTAGCTATGGAAACTAAGTAGGTTTGCACAACATCTGAACCAACAGACGAGCCGATAGATAGGGCAGACTTTGCTGTTCAGGTTCTGGCACTTAAGTCCTACCTCCCAGGACTCCCTTGGTCCAGGACAGTTGACCTATGTATGAACAAAGCAAACTTACTAAAGGCCTCCAGTGTGCTTGTCTTTTAGGAAAGCATTTGGTCTCTGCCCTAAGGGTGTATTTGTTCTAGAGGAGGTTAGATCTAGAAGAGATAGCATCTCCTTCAAGACACGATTTGAGTGCCAAGCCATAGAGTGGTATAGCCGCCTGCCAGGTGCCCATGACCCTGGAAGTAACTCCAATTAAACTGACTGTTCTACCACCTTAAACTTTCATGAAATCATTTCTTCATTCTTATATTACCCTCTCTATCTGGGATGAATAGAAATCAAGTCCCCAGGAAGAGTCACAAGCAGGGAGAATCAAAGGTAAAAGCAAAACTCCAAACCTCATGATAATGGTAAATATTGTCGAGACAATAGTAGACACAGAAGAGGTGTTTAGAATCCATAGCTCCCAGGTGAGTAGGAGAGGGAAGGTTCTGGATGAAGGCATTCGATCACCAAGGAGCCAGAAGTTAACCAAAACAAAGAAATGAAATTGTTCTAAGCATGGGGAGCAAGGTTCAGGAGGTGAGAACCCTAAGAAGAGGTGGTTCAGGAAGCCGGGGGACACTATTCTGAACTCTGCAGGTGGCAGGAGGAGAGCCTGTGAGGGGATCTAGAGTTGTATTCTAGAAACAACTACATTGTTGGCAATGTAGAGGACGAACTGATTACACAGGGCAAAGTGGGACCCAGGAGACCAGAAGAAAAGGAGTGGGAAACTGGGTCTGCTCCCAAGATGGGAGACAGAGCTCATGTACGGAAGTAAGATATACATGAGATGACTTGATGGTTTACCGGATGTGCATAGGGGTTGGGGTCAGATAGGAAAGGATGACCCCCAGGTGTCTAGATTGAGTGGATGAGGTTGGGTTTGGGGTGGTGACATAGAGCTGGACGCTTTAAATCCGTAAGTCATGTAGCAAGTAGTTGGACAGTGAAGTGTCTGGGTGGGAAGAGATCTAGGCTGGAGGCAGAGGCTTGGGAGAGGACACAGACTAAATGGAGCACAGAGGGCACCACTTACTGTCCTGGGCAGAGAGTTGGAGTTTGTGGAATGAGAAGGGATGAAAGCAAGGAGGCTGCCGGGGTGGCCAGGTTTGCAGCAGACACTAGGAGATATCTGATTACAGAGTCGATCTTGGACTTGACCTGAGATCAGCGAGGAGGAGCTGAAGAATATTTGGTGGAAGGTCCCAGGTCAGAAGCAGTTTTTTCAGAACAGCAGGTAGGGGAAGTAGAAGCCAAAGGAATTGGTTGGAGGTGATTGTGAGTGTCCATGAAGCAAGGGCTGGACTGAGTGATGCTAAGCAGTGTGTACAAGTGCACCCATAGGGTTTTTCGTGCTATCGTCCCTAGCTCCCCAGAAGCAGCTAAAATCATAAGGTAGAAGAGGCGGACTGTGTTTTGGAAAGATAATAACTCTCCCAACTCAACCCTTTCCCCAATTCCTAAGTGATGAGTTTAAGCTAAACTTGGCTTTGGAAATAGATGTTGGAAGCTGCAACCAAAGAAATGCTAGGAAGTTTTGATTGAAGAAGGGATTTGAGGGCCAGGGCTATAGACCAGTGATAGACCATTTGCCGAGCATGTGCAAGGCCTGGATTCAATAGCACCATGACCAACCAAAAAAACCAAATCAAGACAAACAGTAAGTTCAAAGGTCAGCTTGGTAAGAACTCAAGTAACAAAAGGCCAGGGATGTAGCTGAGCTAGGCCAGCATGTATGTATGTATGCATAAGATAATGGGCTTAGTGTGCATATACACGCACTCACACACAAACACACACTAGGTCTGTAGGGCTGGCAACTATCAAATCAGAAGAATTACAAATGATGCCAAGGTTTTGAACAGTAATCAAATGAATTGGACCCTTTACCAAAAGGGCAGAAGCTGAGCCAGTTCTGTAACAGTTTTTAAGGGCATTGGAGCTGGCAGACTGGACTTTACTTTTAAAGAGGGGTGATGACATGTATATTAATTTGGAAAGAAGATGACTGGACCAGGCTGACAGCCTGAAGTAGGCCAAAGCAAAGGAGAAAATTATACAAACACAAGCTTTTTTCTCTTTCAGGAAAAAAAAAATTATGACAGAAGCAAAGTGTATGGCCTCTCATGTGCCTCGGGGTTCTTGTGTGACTGAGTGCTCAGTAGAACTGTGTGGAGGGGACCCTAAAGCCCATGACAACCCCTGATCCCTCCTGTGCCAGTGGGCTGAAAGTCAGGAATAAGACAGCATACACCCTTCACAGGCCGAGAGCCACTGTGGACATACCATATGTACACAAGTGTGTGTACACTACACAATGCACACTCTGTCATCTGCCTTGTGTTTATCCCTAACCACCTTCCACTTGGAACTATGAAAGGCTTCACAATGACTCTACAGAGCAAGTACAACGTCTTACCTGCCCATCAAACACTGTCTCCCAGTTTCAGGCAAAGCCTGTGTAAAATGAAACAGCTTCCCAGAGTCTTGATTAGCTACGCCCTTGTCCCAGGACCTTGTCTTACTCTCACACAGTGAATTACAGTAATTGTCTTTCTCAGCTTCTCCAGGTCAAGGATGCAGGATGAAAGAGGAGCGTGGCCTTAAGCTCGTGCAAGGTGCAATTCTATTCTGTTCCCAGGCTGAACTCTGTATCTCAACATGAATTGCTTGAGTCTGGTGCTCTGAGGAGGGGAAGTGCTACCATCAATTCAAAGATCTCAGATAGCTGTTTCCTCCTGTTTCTTCCTTAGGGGGAGCAAAGGGGAGGAGGAAACAGCTCACTGTCGGGGAGTTTACCGTTTCATGGGGTTGGGAAAGGCAAGCACAGAGGGTCACAGGGACGCACACAAATTCAGTCAGGGCTGCAAGACCAAGAGGAATATTCCGACTGAGGGACGAAAAGCAAGTGACAGGGAAAGTCTGGCCAGTCTACCCTGAGGTCCGTGGGATGTCAACGGGTAAGCAGATGTTAACGAGTGAGCAGATGTGAACAGCAAGAGGAAGAGCAGGAGCAGGCAGCTGAGATGGGGTGTGAGCAGCTGGCTGGGGTTTGAGAGAATAGGCAATAAAGCCAGGTTTATTAAAGGAGTGGAAAGGAACTTGGGATGCCAAGGTGAGGACTTTTGTACATAGCTGTTTGAGCACAGAGGAACTAGTGAAGAATTTGGAGCAGGGTAGTCCCAGATTACCCCCTGGATCTAAGAGGCTTGCGCTGTGAATTCTTGTCACCTTGACACAACCTTCTTGGGTCATCTGGGAAGAGGGGACTTGGGTGGAGAAAATGCCTCCATCAGCTAGGCCTATGGGTATGTCTGTGTGGTATTTTCTTGGTTAATGATTGGGGGTAGGGAGACAACCCACCATGGGCAGTGATATCCCTGGGTTGGTGGTCCTGGGCTATATAAGAAGCAGGCTGAGCAAGCCATGGGGAACAAGCCATGGTCTCTGCTTCAGTTCCTGCCTCCAGATTCCTGCCCTGCTTAAGTTCCTGATTTGATTCCCTCAATGATGGACAGTGATCTGGATGCATAAGCCAAATAAACCCTTTCCTTCCCAGGTTGCTTTAGGTCATGGTCTTTCTTACGGTGATTGGAAGTAAACTAAAACAAGGTTTAAGTCTGCAGCTGTTCACTGGGAAGAATTCAGAGTGAGGAGAACAGAGGTAGAGAGAAATTTTGTACATGCTGGGCTTAACATGTCGGCACTCACTAAGACTCGGAAAGAGGGCCTGCCCTTCAGGAGGAAGATACAGTTATAGTCCATGCAACCCCAGCTTCTCCATCTCAAGGGCAGGGACAAGCACACTTACCTCAGGTTGTTTTGGGAACCAGACACAATGCTTTAGGAAACACTAGGCACAGCGTCTGACTCAAGATGGGCACGATGCAGGTTCAGTAATGATGCTGTGGTTACATCAGAGGCGGTTACACTGTTCCTTCTTCCATAGAGCCCGATGCTGTGGTTATATCAGAGGCGGTTACACTGTTCCTTCTTCCATAGAGCCCAATGCTGTGGTTATATCAGAGGTGGTTACACTGTTCCTTCTTCCATGTAGCCCTTCTATTTGCTCCAGAATGCCTCCTCATGGCCAGGAATCAAGAACACGTGGCAAACATATGCAGCCACAGCCACAGTTGCCTCTTCCCCGCAAAGACCAAGGCTAAACATTGAAACAACAGTGAACTGGCTCTGTTTTCCTCACACAGCCACACTCCAGGGTGGATACTCAGCCTCTGGGAAACGGAATTCTGATGAATGTCTTTTTTTTTGTCTTCTTTCTCCAGGCACAGGGCTTCATAAAAGTGATAATCCTGGATTCATTAATGAATGGAGTTAAAATATGTAAAGAATTATGTATTGTTTATGAATACATGGAAACTCTAAGTATATATGTATATATATATATACAAATTCATACACAGAAAGCTTTATATTCCATGTCCCCAAAGTGTATTGTAAACACAAAGTACACACACACACACACACACACACACACACACACACACACTCACACACACACACTCTTTATGAGAACTCATAGCTAATGAAACGGTTCAGTGGGTAAGTAAGGTGCTTGTCACACAAGGCTCGAGCTTGATCCCTGGGACCCGAGTAAAGGTGGAGGAGAGAACTGACTCCACAGGCTCGTCCTCTGACGCATGCACACTAATGACAGCAATAAGTAACACTTAAAACACACTGAAGTCAATAAACTGGTCACTACCTGTGAGAAAAGTAGGGAGGGAAAATAAACGCAGTAATGCTTCACATGTTTTTTATCCGGGTGCTGAATGGATGGCTATTATTCTACTCTTTACATAGTTTGTGTGTAGGGAATAATATACTGATTACATATATATATATATATATATATATATATATATATATATATATATATATATGCAATTTTAAATTTTGGAGAGAAAAAAGTCAGATCTTCTATTTTTGAAATGGTGAGCTCGAACTGGCATCTGGGTTCTGTCAAAGAGGGAAACCAGAGAGGGAAGGATCCTTTGCCGCCTACATCTGATCCAGGCAGAAGACAGACTGCCAACCCTCAGAGGAGGAAACCCCACAAGAAAAGAGTGGGATACCGGAAGACAGTCTCCAGTGCCTCCCTGGAGGAAACGCACCACAGAAAATGTGCCGAGGAAGTGGCAGCCGCAGAGGAAAGGCTGGAGGGACAGATGGGTCGCTAAAACAAAGACAAGGGAAGTTCGGTTCTGTAGACTTCTGGGGAGAAAAAAAGCACAGACTAGGAAGAGAGAGACATTTGTGGGGGCAGGGAAGAGAGTAAGATGTCAGCAGAGCATCTGAATTGACTCCTTTTGAGCAGTGCAGACAGTGACCGCTACGGAGACTTCCAGACGCAAACGCTCACCAGTAAACAACGACCTGGGGAAAACACAGGGACCGGTCGTTTTCACTGGGCAATACACAGCACAGGGCAGAAAGGAGGGACCCGTCCAGTACCCTGGCGCTCTGCCTGGACGTACTTTTCAGACCACAGGGGAGATCCAGGTGGACATAACAGGCTTGCTCAAATTAAGAGGAAAACATCAGCATTTGGAAGGCACAGCGCCGGCCGTCACAACTTGTGACCCAAATCAGGTCAGCCAACTGCTCCCAAGAAGACAGTTAAGAGAGCCAGATTCAAAGTGAGAAGCAGAAAAGGGGTATTTATTCAATGTGGCTACATTGACAAGAGGGATAAAAAGATCCAGTTACCCTCCCCTCCCCTCCTCCGCACCCCCCCAGTCCATCTTCTGGTCCTGAAGTGAGACCAAGGTGTGGCTCCGCCCACCACTGACCCATCATTGTCTGGGCTTCATCTTATCCTGTAAGGTGGGCTGACAAGCTAGAACTGTGTGGAGTCTCTCTCTGGGAGACAGGTTCCCACTCAGGCTGGTACCTGCTCCTTTTCCCAGCATGAGATTCCTGGGGAAGTTCCCATTCTTTGGGGTCGATTGTTTTAACAATCTTGTAGTCCAACTGAGAAACAGTGTCTCTTTAGAATCTCCCCATTCCCGTCAGGCCTGCTCCAGAGGCATTTGTGAGGCAGAGTATGTACTAGAGAAGGGGGAGTGTACTAAGAAGAGCTTCCTTGGGACTAAACAAAGCTTCACAACGTGCAATCTAGGCGAGTGGGCAAAGATACCCCTGGAAGCTGAAAGCGGAACAGTTTCCTGAGCTTGGAAGGCTTGGAAACGTCTTAGTTCCAACAAGACAGAATGGGCAGACTTTGCTGGTCTTTGAGAGAACAGAACCCTGTGGCCTTAGGAGAGGCTCTGGAGTAACCTGCTTACCACATTCTTCTGCAGAGGCGCTAAAGTAACTATGAAGTCAAGGGTGTGGGTATGCTTTCTATCCTCGCCCTATAATTCTCTGAACCCCCGTCTAGAGGCCTTAAACCCAGAGGGCCATGAAAATGTCTCCTAGAAGCCAAGGCTCCTTTCCTGAGACCCAGCAGGAGCTGAGGACGACATTCTGGACTTGGGAACTGGATTTGAATCATGGCTCTGAGTCTGCTGCTGAGAGTCAGTCTGGGCCTGCGCTGTCTGTTGCCTAAGTCAGTAGCCTCCAACCAAACGTGGCCACTGAGCATGTGAAATGTAATTAGCCTAAGTGAATCTTCAATTTAATTAATCAGTTAATGTTGATACAGAGTTTTTTTTTTTCTCTCTTTTCTTTGTGTTTTGAGATAGGGTTTCTCTGTGTAGCCCTGGCTGCCCTGGAACTCCCTCTGTAGACCAGGCTGACCTGGAACTCACAGAGATCCGCCTGCCTCTGCCTTCTGAGTGCTGGGATTAAAGGCATGCGCCACCACCACCTGGTGATACAGAGATTTTCTGTATCTTAGATTGGCTTGGAACTCATTGCATCACCCAGGCTAGCTTTAAACTCTTTTTTGTTTGTTTGTTTTTGTTTTTTTGTTTTTTTTGAGACAGGGTTTCTCTGTGTAGTTTTGGTTACTGGATCTCGCTCTGTAGACCTGGCTGGCCTCGAACTCACAAAGATCTACCTGGTTCTGCCTCCCGAGTGCTGGGATTAAAGGCATGCACCACCACTGCCCGGCAGCTTTAAACTCTTCTTTCAACCTTCAAGTACAAGTATGTATCTCCATGCTGACCTGTAAATTTTATTAAATTTTAGTTATAATTTTTGTTACTTATTAATTTGGGGTTGGGTGGGGCATGCACATGCCACGTGCACATGTGAAGGTCAGGGGACAGCTTTTAGGAGTTAGTTCTCTCTCTTGAGATGTGGATTTCGGGGACTGAACTCACGGTGGTGGGATTGGTGCCAAGCCCCTTTACATGCTGAGCCATCTTGCCAACCCTTAAACTCAAATCACTTTCTTATTCATCAGACTGTGGAAAGTGTTAGAAATGGCAGCATGTGCTAGGTACCTGGATAGACTCGATGTTACATATAAACACACTTTCTAACTGTCATTAATGGCTTGAGTGATTTTTTTTACACGTCAGCATAACACTTTAGTGTGTTTATCTGAATATTTGATGCAGTAATGCAAGTTATAGGTATATCTGCACAACTCAATTGGTTTAAAAACTGAAGTATTTTAATTTAAAATATGGTATAATAAGTTATGGTACTAGTTAAAAATAATCATGAAAAATTGTAATGTTTAAAATGAAGGACTACTACCTACACAGAAATCAATATGGATGCAAAAGCTAGTAGTGTGTGGGTTGACGTGCTGTCAAATCTCACATTTTGGGAGATGGTACAGTAGTTAAGAGTGCTTATTGTTCTTCCAGAGGACTCTAGTTCAGTTCTCAGCAACCACATTGGACAACTCACAACCAAGTGTAACTCTAGCTCCAGGGCTTCTGACACCCTCTTCTGGCCTCCAAGGACATCTACAGTCACATGCATATATCTATACACACATAGACATAATTCAAAAGAAGTCTATTTTTCTAAATCATGACAATTGTATTTGATCCCTGGGACCTACATGGAACTCCGGTAATGTGTCTTCTGTTCTCTATACAGAGCACAGTGGTACAAGTGAGGGCACCACCTCCATAAAAAAAATTCATGATGATATTTAATGCTACTGAGATGGTATTGGGAAGACCTCTGAGACTGTCACAATAGTAAGATAGTTATCTTGTGTGTTGATCTGTTATAAAGGCAAGATGACTCCTCTCCCTCCTTCCACCCCTCCTCCTATTCTCTCCCTCTTCTCTCTCTGAAGAGTCAGACAGTCGAAATCTGTATGGTGAAAGCCATGACTAAATAGAGATATTATCCCCTTTCCATGCAAGCTTCTGTCATCCTGTTGTCTGCTCTCACAGAGGAGCAACAGGGGAGGAGGGCCCTGCTGACTGACAGGGGAGGAGGGTCCCCTGATATTGTCAACACTCTCTTGTTCACACCAGCTGTCTGTCTTACCAGCTTCCTCTCTTTACAAAGCCTTCACCTGTTATAACACAGTGAGAAAGATATGCTCTTAGATTCCTCAGTTTCCAAAACTATGTGGAAAAAAATCTTTATAAATTACTTAGTCTGTTGTATTCTGTTATAGCAGTAGCCAAAACCAACTTAGAGTGGGCTACATGTGGTGTGTGCAACTGCAGTCCTAGCTCCTGAGTAGTGGGAGCAGGAGGATCAGGAGTCGAGGCCAGCCTGGACTACATGAGACTGAGGAGGATCAGGAGTCGAGGCCAGCCTGGACTACATGAGACTGAGGAGGATCAGGAGTCGAGGCCAGCCTGGATTACATGAGACTGTCTTAGACACTTCCAGTGAAAAGACAGAAATTTTAAAAATAACTTTTCTCTTAACAGTTAAACGAGAATCAGTATTAATTATCTGAAATTGGAGTTAAATGTTCAATAAATGTTTTTAAACAGTTCTTACCAGGACCTAGCTCATAATGTTGGCCTGTTAAGATGAGTTGAATTCTCACAACCGAAAGAGAACCACTTTTAGATGGAGAGGTAGCCAAAGACACTACCATCTTCATCATGGAAATTCTACTGGGAAGGTACAAGCAGAATATCTGAAGGACGTTTAACAACTAGTACAAGCTCAGTTCAGTCGTTAGGGAAACAGTTTTGGAAGTTCCTCAAAACAAAAAAATTAAAAGCAGAACTACCATATGGTCCAACAATCCTACTTCTGGGTATTGATCCAAAGGAGATGAAATCAGTACCTTGAGGAGATATTTAGACTCTACTCTCCCCAGCACAGTTTACAATAGCTGAGATACGGAAACAGCCTAAGGCCTGCTGGTGGGTGAATGGATAAAGAAAATGTGAGATAGACAGATATATAAAGA